GGAGGGCTGGTTCCCACTGGAGCRCTGAGTGGGCCCAACCAMATGTGAGCAATGCAGTCTTTGGTTYATTCYRAGGTCAGTTGGGTGACAWTCAAACACCAGGCTGGCCAGCAGAGTGCTGACAGTGTTGGTGATAGCAAGCATCCCATGTTTGGCTCGCTGTGCCCTGGCAGCTCTGTGCTGTCCCTTGGCTGATACTGAACCAGGGGAGACAGCAGGAAGCTGCTGCTGGGTGTTTCTGTGTCTAACACCTTGTTTACACTGGGGGCTTGAGAGCAGGGGCTGTTTGTGTCCATCTGTGAGTGCAAAGCTAAATTGATGAGGCAGAAGAAATAATTTTTCTGTTAACAAAATCCTCCTGTTGTGCCTGTGCAGGAAAAGTCACTTCTTGTTCCACAGTGGGGTGTTAGAGACTCCAGCTTTGGGAAGCTGTGCTGCCAGTGGGACTCTTTCATGGAATCGTGGAATGGTTTGGGTTGGAAAGGACCYAAAGATRAGCCAGTTTCAACCCAGGAATACCTTCCACTATCCCATTTTGCTCCCAGCCCTGTCCAGCCTTGCCTTGGACAYTCCCAAGGGATCCAAGGGCAGCCACAGCTTCTCTGGGCATTTACTCCCATGTTTGCAAATAATCTGCAGTGTTTCAGATCTGTAACTCCCCTGCCATGATTGAGTATGCAGTGCCACCATCTTTCAGAATGAGGAGCAGAATGCTGATTTTCATTTTTTTCAAGTTCTCTTCGAGTTGTTAGTTTTTTTTAACATAACTGCTAAAACAAGAGTATTGGATGTAAGGGAAGTACCAGGCAGATGGGAAGGTCTGAGTCATTAACACTCTTTCTTTAAACCTTTTTCCTTTCATAGTGCTGACTGATGGACATAGTACACAGAAGGATAATTATTTATTTTATAATTTGGGAAAGATGAGAGGATTTTATGGCTGGATGTACACCCCTCCCTCACCCAAGTCCTGCATTTGTCTTTCACTCTCAGTGACTGGGGTTGACTTTTGTCTTCCCTTGCAGTTTATGTGAAATCTTCCTTGGAAACAGTCAAATCCCTGATGTCTGTCTGCAGTGAGACTCCTTCCTCACAGCTCTATGTTCTGGAGATAACAGCTATCTTCCCTCCTCAGATCCTGGTGCTCTCAGTTCTCCCTGGAACAGAAGGCAGAGCTGGAGCTTGTGGGAGTTTGTCTTTACCTGGAGTTGTGTCCTGCTCTGCTCCCACCCAGGCTGTCACTGGTGTCCCAGCCCTGCAGTCAGTCCCATCACCATCTCTTCTCTTCATGCTGCCACAGGTGGCTTTTGCTGTGAACCTCTAATGATTTCCCTTTCCCATTGGCATAATCCTCTTTCTATTTTTCTCAGAGTTTTATCCATCTCCCTTTATTTGCTAAATCTCCTCTGATTCTTTGTTCTTTTCAGCCCAGTTTCAGTCCTTTATAATCTAAGATCTGTAGAACAAGATTTTTTTTCTTCTTCTAGTACCTGAAGAAAGTCTCCTGTGCCTAGACAAGRATTACTGTAGTTCTGTCTTGGAATTTTAATTCCAGACTACATGGACAAGCCCCGAGATGCTTCTCTTATCTGTTCCTCAAAGCTATGCATTAAACAAAACATGCATCTGATCAGTTTAACCTGTAATTAAACATTTTCCTTAAGCAACTGACATTGTGATAACTAATAATTATCATGTGCAGCACCTTTAAAACCTATTATGCATGTTTATGTAAGAACACTATTACCATAATAATAAGATATCATTACCACAAATGTGCATACTGAATGAGCATGTCTTAAAGTAATCATGGATTCCATTAATCAWACTTGAAAAATTAAAGTATTTGCTGTCTAATCTCTCGAACACTACTCAAAAGGTTTTGGAAACAGCAGGGCCTGTTTACTGCAGGTCTCTCACACAAGAGGTCTCGTTTCTGGTGTCTCATTTTTGTTTCCTGAATTGTTGCTTATCTTTTAGCTCGGGAAGCTGTTAGCTCAGACYCATGGTCTGCCTTTGAAAGCATTTCCATGCTCTGATTTTTAGATTGTTTGCCTTGTTTTCAGTCCAGGGAGTGCTGCCACTTTTTCTTCAGGCTGATGTRAAATGCACTCCTGAAACTTGGTTCTCCTTCAAATTAGATAATTGCCATAAAGGAGATGAATTGATAGCTAATTGTGATTCTCTTAGTCCCTTGCACAGGAACAGAAAAGAAACAACTCTGTTTGTCAAATGTTCTTTTTGTTTGGTGTTTTTTTTTTTTTTAATACAAGATTACAGACTTGGGGAGTGGACTTTTTTGGGTTTATGTATAAAGTTGTCATGAGGTGAAGGTTTTGAGTTTCTTCTGTTGAAAAGTTGAGCTCTGCAGAGACTGCATGACCAGAGTGAAAGTTGGGAAGAAGTATTTGACTTGCTGAGAAAAGTGAGTAATTGAATGAAATGAGATTTTTTTTGTAGAGTCAGAATATTTGGGGTTGGAAGGGACTTTCAAAGGCCATCTTGTCCAATCCCCTGCAATGAGCAGAGACATCAAATATATGATGTGGCYAAGAGCTAAAAAACCAACTTAGTGCTTTAGAGAGACAGTTCTTTTATCTGTCAGTAGGACCACATTGAATTTAGTACCATAATTTGTGTCGAGTCAAGTGAATTTATCACTTTGTATTTTCTTCTTTAACATTTGGCATTAGGTAACCTGGACATTGTGAAGGCTTTCTTAATGCCAAAAAACTATGTTGTTATACAACTCCTTAGTACTTGTACTTGATGCAGCTGTGATATATTTCTGCATCTTAACATATAAACTGCATTATARGAAAATAGTGAAGGAGGTGGAGAGGATTTTAAGGACTGAGAATATGGAGCAGGGGAAATAGGCATGAAAAGGCAAAAAAAAAGGAAAAAATTGGGAAAAAAAATGGAATTGGGAAACAATTTGACAGGCATGATGGAAGTGTGAGGAGAAACAGGACTTGAAAATTGCTTTTCTGTAATGGCAGCAGTAAAACAGKTGTGTGAGTAGTGGGAGCTGTGGGGTATCACCAGAGGAAGTTTTTGTGCCAGAGGGGTGTGGTGAGTTGCTCGAGGCCTCAATGAAATTAGAGGGAAGCACCTGAAATGGGGACAAAACAGGGTTGTGTGACAGGCCACACCCAGCTTTTGGAGCTCCTGTGGCTGGGGACAGTCTGGGAATAGGAGAGGAAATGGAATTGTAAAATGGAATTGTACCTTCACGTTATGTGCAGCTCTCACAGGGGAAGGGAACACGTGCACACAGACAGAGTGAGGAGGAAGGAAAGAGACGGTTTCAAAAGCTCTGCAAAATGCTTTCTGAAAGGGATATAAACTCTTGTGACTGGGGGTATAAATCAGCTTCTCCCCRGTGTGCTCAGGAAGCAGATTTCCCTGCAGCCACTTGTTCTGTTCCCACCTACCTGCAAGGCTCCATGAACYTCTCAATGTATCACTTGGCTTCTTTTCCTTTCTCTTTACTGATGGAGCAGGGAGAATGCTTTCTTTGTTCCCAGTTAGGTTGGCAATTTCTCAAATCCTCCATAACTTTGCAAGAAAAATTTGAGATCTTAACAAAGAAGGAAATAAATTGCCAGAAAGAAAACATTAGAATAGTGTCTAGTAAGCAGCTTTTTAAAAACTTGGTGCTTCCTTCTATTAGAGGCTGCTAGGATGTTTAATTCGTAGTTTTAGATTTGAATATTCTACAAATATAATTTGTTGCTTTACTTCTGGGAAAGTTATTTCTCAGTTTCCTGGTTCCATGGGTTGAACTAAGGAATTTTTTAGTGTGTTTTATTCAAAGTTTTTGAAGCATTTAAATGTGGCACTGTCTGTAAAACGTGTAAGAAGCTGCACTGAATTTCCCTTCCCCCGCTTATAAATACAATTCCTTGAGGAGCAAARGAACAAACTGGAAGCATCTATGTTATACTGAGTAATTATGCCCCCTGGGAAATAGAATATAAAGATCTTTAAAATCATTCAAGTGAGAGAACAAGCACTTTAAGTTGTGCCTCGCAGGGGCCGTGTATTACATGGGCAGCTCCTTGCTCCAGTGTCAGTGTGTCGTGCCTTGCAGGTTCAGGGCTCTGGCAGAGGAAATGAAACCCAGTCAGTTAGTGCAGGATTTATGGCAGACCTGCTGCTGCAGGAAGTGCTGAAAAGCTGATTGATGGGCTGAGGCAAAACTCCACAACAAGAAACAGGATGTATGTTTGGGTTTTAATGCCCSTTTTCCCCTCTGCCCTCACCCCCCTCCATTTCAAAGCGTTCTCTTGCTCTTTAGTCTCTGTTTATAAATCCATGGTGCCCTTTTCTGGTAAAGCACGTGCTGCCTTCCAACACTGAAGAAATGGATAGGGCTGGGCCAGAGATTTGAAGCCARTGTGGTGTGTCTGCTTTATTAGGGGCATTTATCTGAATGGTCCCATTATTCCTGCTCAATTATATTTCATCTGAATGGTCAAGTGCATCTGCAGACAGAGGATTGARCATCTCCTGTGATCCTGGGTGCTCCAGGCTGGCTGGGAGAGGAAGAGGAGGGTGGATCACTAACCAGCCCTGTCCTCTTGGTACACAGGCATTTCACAGATATATCTGGAAACTGAAATTATTTTGTAGCACATAAACTTGAGCCAGCCAGCTCTGTGCTGCAGAAAGCTGCTAAAGGCAGTAAACCTGCAAAGGTTTGTTCTGAAATGTCCCTCACTGTGCCCTGCTGAAACATTCAGCAGCAGGATCTTTTCTGAAAGTATCCTCAAAGCTTTTCAGTGTGATGCTGTCTGACCTTATGAGAAAACTTACCCCAAATAATTGTAATTATGAATACTTTTTTTCCCCCTCCTGTAACAACTCATGATTGAAGAAGAAAGTTGTTTGCATCCCAGGCAAGTGGAAGAAACGTTCAGAGATCTGTGCTCTCGTTATCAAATGGGAAAGTTCTGTTTGTCRGGTTCAATAACATATCTTGTTCTTTGTTAAAGGTCAAAAAAGTTGGCTTCACTCAGCGAGTCCTTGCAGAAAACCCCGCTCAGCAAGTCCCACTTGGGGCTGGAGCTGGAGGAGCTGGAAGCAGCAGCAGTGCTGGTACAGGAGGAAGAGAAGGCGTTAAAAGCTGCTGGCACAGTTTCCAAGCAACAGCTGCTTTGCTCCGAGTCAGAGACAAGTGACTCTGAAGAATCCAGCAGCRCTTCATCATCTGAGACAGAAGGCTCTGATTCAGATGAGCAGGAGTCCTCGACCAGTGAAGATGGGGAAATAAATTCTTTCCAAGGCACGCTCCAGGAGGAGGGGACAGCTCCACTTATTGACTGTAATGGATTGAGGCAGGGCRCAGACACTTGGGCGATGGAGGCTGCTGATGGAAAATCAAAGGGTTCCTTGCAATCYACAACTCCTACTGGAAAATTGGTACAAGAATTAGAAATGCAAATCCACTCTGCAATGAGGCTCTCAGAGCCTGAAGGATTGGCTACTGCAGGCTGCATTTCACAGGAACAAGAAGAAAACCCTGTAGCCGAGCCTGACAGATTTGCTGAAGATTCTGCTGGGAAGGGAAATTTCTTGGAGGTGTCTCCCAAACCCAACCTGTTGCTTTCCCTCTGCAACCCAAATGAAGATGAGGACTAAAGGACATGCAGGAGCACAGTGTGTGACCCCCTAGCTCAGTTTGTTCTGTCATGAGCTGTCCCAAGGCTGTCCTGAGTTGCACAAAAATGTTTCACTTTTTTGTTGGAGGACAAGACTGCTTTGAAAAGAATTGTTAAGACTGTGTGATACATACTCTCACAGTTAATTTTAATTTTTTTCCAGTTCAGCAGTCCCAGATTTGGTGTGAGAATGTATAATTTCAGTAAACTTATAGAAACAGTTTTTGTTAAGTGACAGAATGATGTTCTAATCAGATACAACCGAATGGACTTATTTCAGTTTTCTTTAGCTTTTGGGATTTACTTGAAAAATGTCCTCATTCTGTTTGTATAAATTTGTTTGTGGCATTGTATTGTTACTTCATTTCAAAATGCTTTATAAGAAACCACTTCAAYTAATGGTTATAAGTTTAAAAGTTTAAATAGTGATGGCAGATTATTTTAAATTATATCAATATTTTCTGTATTTTTTGTATAAAAGGAAATTTCTRTGCCATCAGTACAAGATCCAATGGTTGTATCTTACAAGTCTAAGAGAGAGAAGTTTATAAAGTTCTTTCAGCAGTTCTGTAATGTATTCATTCTTCTGTGCTGTTTTTGAAATGTTTCTTGGTGTGGACACTTCTGTTGCTGTTTAAAGAGCACAAATCCCAATTATTTGGTGTTGCTTTTTGCAGATGCTCTCAGAACCAACTGCAGCATTGTSAACCAGAATGAAGGAACAACGTGGTTTGTGGATCTTGGGACAGGACTGAGAGCAAACCTGGCCTGTGTAGTCCTGGCTTTGTTAGTCTGGCCCACAGCTTTGGCCAACATTTAACCTTCTTTGCCTTTATACCGTTCAAACAATCCAACCAGTTTGTAGTTTGTTTGGGTACAGTTTGTTAGCTGATTTCTGTCATTGAAAGGGGGTGGCTGCTGTAAAAATCTCCTGTTCCTCAGTGCCTGCAGGAGGATTTGGGATGGTGGAACGTGGACCACCAGGTTTGGCTCAGCAGGAGCACAGACCCAACAGGAGCACCTGAGTCACCCCTCAGGAAAAGCAAGTTTTGATTACTTTTCAACCTTTTCTTCTAATAAAAAGTTAATAAAAATCCTAAGCTAATAGACTTGTTCTTCATCTTTCCCTGCTGGAAATCAGCAGGTGAGCTCTGTTCTAGCCCAGCTCCTGCTCASTGAGAGCTGCAACCCTCACCTGCCAATATTTTTTATGTTCTTAAATACCTGCTGGTTGCTTAATCAGTCTTTCTGTTCTGTTCCCTGGGGGAGAAACCTTTCCCATCCCGTGTGTCAGGGAGCACTTATTCTTCTAAATGCCAGCAATAAAATCCACACTGGAGCTGCCAAAGGCTGGGAGAAGGAGGGGGAAATGCACTTCAGGAAAAAAGAGCGATGGTCCTGCTCTCCCCAAATTCCAGAGGTGAACTCAGGACCTTCCTGGGGCTGGGGAAAGCTCTGTGAAACCCTGTATTTTCTGGTTTTTGTGGGGTGATTGATGGCACTTTTACACGACCTTTGCAGGGGT